AAATATATATATATATATGGCTGGCTATTCTGCTTTCCCTATCCTCCATATTAGGAGTTGCAAGCCTTTTTCACTCTCCTCCAGTTGCCAACTTTAACCTTCTCAATCTCAACAGATGTCTTTACCTCCAACTTCACTGAATAACAACTATTTCTCTTTCTAGCATCCATTTTCTAGTTCCAATGCCTCTGCCTCCTCTTGGATCTTTCTCTCTTGCAAATATCATCTCCCCTCTGAGGGCTCCTTCCTTTTGTAATACAACCCCTCTATATATATGAAGAGTTAGTTTCTTTTTCCTGAACATATTCTTTCTTCTCTTCATACCTTTGCTCATATTATTTCCTCTGCCTGTAAAACTGCCTTCTTCTACAAGCTCTCAAAGTAATGAATGTTCATAATTTAATCTCTTCTTTACACACTATAATACCGTATATTCATTATTCAAGGTGACAGGAAAGCATACAGTACATTTCAGAAAGATTCTTGTCAAGAAACAGTGAAAGTCCCAGAATTTAAAAGGTTAGTCTTCAGCTATCTGTAACCTTTTAAATAGTGGGACTTTAAAATTTTGTTTTATAAAGGTATTGATCTACAAAGAAAATGGCCCTATACCACAGACAGTTTGAGAAGCTTCCCTCTAGAGGCCACAAAACTAAAAATTCTCGAAGGAGAGATAAAGCCATGCTGCCATGACACCTGACCAGGAAGAAGGGCCTGAAGAATGAGAAGGAAATTGTTGGGAACAGATCTAGGCCAGTGGGGTGACCTGGAAAAGGGGTGAGAGACAGTGGAAATGGGCTCTGGATCCTTGTTGGGACAGATAAATAGTAAAAAGGTAAAATTCAGAGGAAGGAAGGGGCTGGCCAGCTGGCAGACTTGTGCTCAAAGGATATACCTCCAAAGGGAACAGGTTTCCTCCTGCTTCAGCCAGCCCTCATTATCCTTAATGCAGAAGCTTCTCATGTTTTTTAGGTTACAGAAACATTCCAAGCTGATGAAAATTATGAACTGTCTTCCCAGAAAACTGCACAGGCCCATAGTTTTTAATACAATTGAACTTAAAATTCAATATAATTCTAGGAAATTCATGAAAACCATTCATGAATCCCAAGTTACGAACTCTTGAATCTAAAAATTCCTTAGAGGATACATAAGAAATTGATAATTGTGGGGTTTTTTGGGGGAGGGAAGGGAGAGGCAGGGGTTTGAGGTAGGAGGGAAAAATATTTTGCATCATATGTGCTAGTAAACTCATTACCATTGACATGGCTTGCCTTTTCAATTAAAAAAGAAAAAAATGCTTAAAAAGAAATAAGTTGGCATTCAGGGCAAGCCTCAATCATAGCTTAACATCAAGGAAAGGAGAAAACCCCCTGTTCCACAAAATTATCTACCAAAGTTTTTCTGAAATTCTTCCATCAAGAAACATATCCATTTCAAAGGGCAAAATCCTTAAAAATGTAAATATAACTTGAATCATTGGTATGAATGAATTTCAGCCTAAATATAAACTGATATCAGGTCCTTTCCTATTTTCACAAGGATTATGAAGCAGGCAAACACTGAACCTTAGAGGGCAGAGAGCAGAAGGACATGCAGAAATGAACAGAAAGGAGAAACTGGGACAGTTGAAACACAATTTGCTTATTTCGTAACTGTTTGCAATCTGCTTTCACCCAATGACACAAAAAACAAACAGCTGTTCAAAGTGATTTCATATCCCACTAGAAAAATATGCCAATATTTTACCACAAACTATGGCTACAAAAACTTACGATTCTTTTTCACATGACTGAAGAAGCTAAAGCTTTAATAAAGCTATAGGTGTTTCCTGTGTTATGAAGGATAAGCACAAAAGCTAATAATGGAGCCACATAAATCATTCAAACTTACTTGCAAAATATGTGATCACACTTTGTGGAAACAGGCTCTTTGATCAACTCCAGACTAGAAGGGTAGGGGAAAAAAAAAGAAAAGAAATGAGGTTCAATAATTCATTTAAAAATAAATGAATAGGGGTGGGGAGAGGTGGGGGAAAAAAAAATAAATGAATAAATGAATTCTTAATAAAGAAGTTCAACTTTAAGCTGCTATAACTGAGTCAAAGTAAGGCTTTAAGTTCATTCAATAAATATTTATTAAATGTCTGCTGTACTAGGAAGCAAAAATACAGCAGAGAATATGATCCTTACCCTCACTGAGCTTTCAGACATCAAAACAGAATATATCATTCTTTTCTACATTCTATGTTATCTTTGGCATTTAAAAAATTAGCTGATATTATTTCATATTAGTTTTCACTGATACCTTTTTTGAGCTATCATTGTGGGTGCACATTGTATATGTTAACTAAACTTTAAGCTCCACAAAGACAAAAACTTCTATTTCTTTTGAATTCCCTCATAGCACTTTTTTGGCATGTGATTGCCTTTTTATTTTTTATTTCTTTTTTTTTTTTTTCTGCGGTACGCGGGCCTCACTGTTGTGGCCTCTCTCATTGTGGAGCACAGGCTCTGAATGCGCAGGCTCGGCGGCCATGGCTCACGGGCCCAGCCGCTCCGCAGCACGTGGGATCTTCCCGGATCGGGGCACGAACCTGTGTCCCCTGCATTGGCAGGCAGACTCTCAACCACTGGGCCACCAGGGAAGCCCCCACTTTTTATTTCTTAATATGGAAGGCTTAAAGCATTTACACAAATAAAACAGTAAAATGAACTCCATGTACCATAACCCAATTTCAGCAATTATCAGCTCACAGCCAATTTATTTCATCCATACCAAAATCCACTCAAAGCCAAGATTATTTTAAAATAAATCCCAGGGGATTTCCCTGGTGGTCCCGGGGGTAAGACTCCACACTCCCAATGCAGGGGGCCCACGTTCAATCCCTGGTGGGGGAACTAGATCCCACATGCATGCCGCGACTAAGAACCTGCATGCCACAACTAAAAAGATCCCGCATGCCACAACGAAGATCCCACGTGCCGCAACTAAGCCCCGACGCAGCCAAAATAAATAAAATAAATATTTTTTAAAATCCCAGCTGTCATAGCATTTCATCTATAAATATTTCAGAATATATCTTTCAAAGATAAAGACTTTTTTAGTTTAACCATGAAACCATTATTACTCCTAAAAAATAATTTCCCTAGGGCTTCCCTGGTGGCGCAGTGGTTGAGAGTCCGCCTGCCGAGGCGGGGGACACGGGTTCGTGCCCCGGTCCAGGAAGATCCCATATGCTGCGTAGCGGCCTGGCCTGTGAGCCATGGCCGCTGAGCCTGTGCGTCCGGAGTCTGTGCTCCGCAACAGGAGAGGCCACAACGGTGAGAGGCCCGCATACCGCAAAATAAATAAATAAATAAGTAAATAATAATTTCCTTAGTATCATCTAATATACAACTAATGTTCCAATTTCCCTCACTGTCTCATAAAAATTTAATAACTAAATTCATTTAAATCAGGATCCAAATAAGATCCACACATTGCATTTGGTTGATATATCTCAAGTCTCTTTTACAGATTTCTCCTCTTTTTTTACCTCGTCATTTAAAAAACTAGGTCATTTGACCTCTAGAATTTCCCACATTCTAGATTTTGCTGATTATAACCCTATGATGTGGTTTAACTTGTCCCTCTAACCTCTATTTCCTATAAACTAGACCTACAGGCTCAGTCAAAATTGGGTTCAATTTTTTGGCAAGAACACTTTACAGATGGTTCTGTGTACTTTTATTACATCACTTCACGAGGTACACAATGTTTGTTTGTGATTACTTTGTAAGAACAGTGTAATAAGTACTCACTGAAGAAAATTTAGAAAATAATAAACTTAGAAAAATATTAAAATCTCCAGAAAAGAAAATACATCACTCAAATTCTCATCCCTACCCATCTAACCACAAAATCTCAAGGCCCTCCTGAGATTAATTCATTTACTAATATAACAAGTATTTATTGTGCATCTACTATGTGCAAGCACTGCTCTTGGAGATGCAAATACAGCAGTGAACAAAATAAAGCCTGCCCTCACAGAACTTACATTCTAGTGGTAGGCAGTTGATTGAGAAACAAACATATATGGGAATAAGTGCTAAAAAGAAAAATAAAGCAAGGTAAGGGGACAGGGAGTGTAGTGTGTCGGGGGAAGGGTATATACAGGGTAGTCAGGAAAGGCCTTACTGAGAAGGTGACACTGGCAGACAGCTGAGCAATGTGAGGAAACAAGTTGTGCAACAGTTGGGGGAAGAACATTCCAGCAGAGGGAGCAGAAAAGACAGACTCTGAGCAGGACCATGCCCAGCGTTTTTGAAGGACACCGAGTAGGCCAAGGTCTAGGATGAATAATCAAGGGGGAGGTACTAGTAGAAGAGGTCAGAGAGGTAGGTGGGAGCCTGAGCATGTAGGAACCTGCAGGCTATTTTAAGTCTTCAGTGTTTATTCTGAATGAGAGTTCCAGAAACTGATTCTTGGTAAAGTTCAGGCAAGACATCAAAGAACAGGTAACCTGTGTATGTGATAGGAATGTGGTTCATTAAATGTTTGACTTTTTAGAAAAGGATCACAAGAAAAGCTGGGGGACAATAGCCTCCTTATGAAGGGTTTGGTAACACAACTCTCGCAATCATGGGGTTTCTGACGCAGCACAGGGCAATGAAAAGAAAAATACCAGAGTAAGTCAGAAGACTGGGTTTCTACCACAGTTCTCTTTGTTAGCAGAGTGATCTCAGGCCAACCACTACCTGAACCTCAGTTTCCTTCTCGGTCACCCACTCTACCAGTCTCTTGAGGCTATTCTGAGAATAAAATTAAATGCTACTTGGGAAAATGTTTACAACCTGAGATGACTTGTACCAATGTTAGTATTATTATTGGGACTGAAAGTGATTTTAAAAAGAAAAACAAAGAAAACTCTGATTTGTTAGTAAATCACTATTCCTCAGATAGGCTAGACAGCAAAAGAAATTCTCAGTAAAAGAGAAGTTGGATTTAGCTATGATACCAGATGGCTTTCATTCTCACCACTGACTCAATTCTGAGATAATTACATTTCAGTATAGTAATTAAAAACCAAGCTATACAAACATACTGTAAACACAAACTCTGAACAGATGAAAACTCCAATACATAAAAAAGTAATTACTGTTGAAGGAAAAGCTTGAAGAGAGAATGGGAATGAAAAGAAAAAAATTAAAATGTTCTTTTCTAGGTCCTGATGAAAGTAAATGTTTAATATAAAAGTGATTCAGGGACTTCCCTGGTGGCGTAGTGGTTAAGAATCCACCTGCCAAAGCAGGGGACATGGGTTCGAGCCCTGGTCCGGGAAGATCCCACATGCTACAGAGCAACTAAGCCCATGCACCACAACTACTGAGCTTTTGCTCTAGAGCCCGCGAGCCAAAATTACTGAAGCCCATGTGCCTGGAGCCCGTGCTTCACAACAAGAGAAGCCACCACAATGAGAAGCCGCACACTGCAATGAAGAGTAGTCCCCGCTTGCTGCAACTAGAGAAAGCCAGCACGCAGCAACGAAGACCCAACACAGCCAAAAATAAATAAATTAATTAATTAAAAAAATAAAAATAGGGCTTCCCTGGTGGCGCAGTGGTTAAGAATCAGCCTGCCAGTACAGGGGAAACAGGTTCGAGCCCTGGTCCAGGAAGATCCCACATGCTGCGGAGCAGCTAAGCCCGTGTACCACAACTACTGAGCCTGTGCTCTAGAGCCCACAAACCACAACTACTGAAGCCTGCGCGCCTAGAGCCTGTGCTCCACAACAAGAGAAGCCACTGCAATGAGAAGCCCGCTCACCGCAATGAAGAGTAGCCCACACTCGCCGCAACTAGAGAAAGCCCGTGCGCAGCAACAAAGACCCAACTCAGCCAAAAATAAATAAATAAATAAATTTATATTGAAAATAAATAAAGAATAAAAATAAAATAAAAGTGACTCAAATATTTTAAACTTTTGAAACCAGGAAATATTTTAGGCCTACTGCATATTTATATTTAGAGCTTCCAACATGGTTAAGTGATTGGAAAAAGAGGCTAGGTTAGGTTCAGAAAACAACCGCCACCCACTGGGATACACATTTTAGCAAACTCTTCGAAAGTCAAAGAATTTGTATGTTCATGTGTAAAGAGTTAGAAAGAACTACCAGTTATCAGAAATAAATGCCAATAATGACTCAGGGGCCAGGAGAAGGAATTTTAGCTTGAGACCTCAAAGAAACTGGAAACCTACCCTATAGTTACCGTAAATAACATTGTTTCCATTCACAGTCAGGAATCATTTAAGACATTAACTGCGAATTGTACTGTTCTAGGCAATGTTAAAAAAAAAAAAAGTGAACTAGGTATGAGTTTAAGGTTTAACAACCAAGCAGAACAGTCTTAGTATAAAAACCAGGTCTATTTCTAATAGAAAACAGACTGAGGACTTCCTTGATGGCACAGTGGTTGAGAATCCGCCTGCCAGTTCAGGGGACATGGGTTTGATCCCTGGTCCGGGAGGATCCCACATGCTGTGGAGCAACTAAGCCCGTGCGTCACAACTACGAAGCCTGTGCTCTAGAGCCCGCGAGCCACAACTATGGAGCCCACATGCCACAACTACTGAAGCCTGCGTGCTCTAGGGCCTGTGCTCCGCAACGAGAAGCCACTGCAATGATAAGCCCATGCACTGCAAGGAAGAGCAGCCCCCGCTCACCACACTAGAGAAAGCCTGCGCACAGCAACCAAGACCCAACACAGCCAAAAGAAAAAAAAAACAGATTGAAAAAATAAATAAATATGGAGCTGGAAAATACACAGTAGTTGACTGAAAATAAAAATTTAAAATTAACTTTCATTCTCACATCTTTAATTTTTATGTATCTGAGGTTTTGTTTGTTTGTTTGTTTGTTTTGCAGCACGTGGGCCTCTCACTGTTGTGGCCTCTCCCACTGTGGAGCACAGGCTCTGGACGCGCAGGCTCAGCGGCCATGGCTCACAGGTCCAGCCGCTCCGCGGCATGTGGGATCCTCCCGGACCGGGGCACGAACCCGTGTCCCCCGCATCGGTAGGCGGACTCTCAACCACTGCGCCACCAGGGAATCCCCTGTATCTGAGTTTTTTTATTTGATGGTTTACTTTGCCAGAATGAGAAAGAACATTACATTATTATGACTGAGTCCCATGGAAATGTAAAATAAATGGACCCAAATGCCATACTATTAAGGACTTTTTGATCACTCTTTGTAATCATCATGAGTAAGTTTTATGCTTTTTCAAAAGCAATTTTTTTTCCAATTGTCATTTCCTGCTTGCCTGGCTCTGATGTTTCGTAAATTAGGCTGTAAAGCTCATTTAGCTTTGGTTCTTGTTTAGCTGAAACGTTGAGAGGCAGGGAAGCAGAAGGTAGGTTACTTATAAATCTTGTTTCTCTCTGAAAACACAACTTGCATTTGTTTAAATCTTATTTACTTGACTCCAAGTATGAAAAACAACTTTCGTGAAGCACAAAGGAAAGGTAAAACTTTTCAGTTTACTTTTTGAATAATACCCACCACTATCACCATGTTAAAAACCACTAAATTATCAAAGAACCAATTTAGTTTCTTACTTAATACTTTCAACAAATGTTTACTGAGTGGCTACTATGTCCCAGATACTGTTCTAACTACTGAAGATATGAAGTAAATAAAACAAATAAAAACCTCTGCCCTTGGGAGTTTATATTCTGTGGGGGTTGAGAAAAAGGATAAATAAATTATACAGAATGTCAGATAGTTTTAAGTTTTATGTAAAAAATAAGCATTATGGAAAAAAAGGGGGATAAGGGATGTGTTGAGGGTGGGAGTGTTACAATTTTAAATTGGGATTGTCTGCCTCTTTGAAAGATGGTATTTCAATCAAGATTTGTGAGCCATGCAATTACCAGGGGAAGAATGTTGCAGGCAGAGGGTGTAGCAAGCATAAAAGCTCAGAGGCAGGAGAATATGTCGCATGTCTGAAGAGCAGTGAAGAGGCCAGAATGACCAGAATTAAGAGAACAGAGGGAAGAGGGTAGTCAGTAATCCTCCTAAATTGCCTTTCTGGCTTTTTACCAAGAAATTCTGAGGTATGGTTTTTAATTTATTTTATAGATTTAAGAGATACCATTGAGGTCAGCTAGTGACTACCTGGGGTTCATAACCTTTGTTGTACCATGGACCCCCTTTGGCAGTTGGTAAAGCTCGTGAGCCCCTTTCTTAGAGCAATGCTTTTAAATATATAAAATAAAAAATATAAAATTACATAAGAAACTAATTATATAAGAATACAGTTCTATCTATAGGCCTCCAAGGGCCATGGAGGGTCAGCAAGTTAAGAGCTCCTGAATCCACACAAGATAACTTTCTGGGGTGATGGAAATATCCTATATCATTTATTCATTCATTCATTTACGGCTGTGTTGGGTCTTCGTTGCTGTGTGCAGGCTTTCTCTAGTTGCAGCAAGCGGGGGTTATTCTTTGTTGCGGTGCGTGGGCTTCTCATTGAGGTGTGTGGGCTTCTCATTGCGGTGGCTTCTCTTGCTGCGGAGCACAGGCTCTAGGCGCGTGGACTCAGTAGTTGTGGCACATGGGCTCAGTAGTTGTGGCTTGCAGGCTCTAGAGCTCAGGCTCAGTAGTTGTGGCGCACGGGCTTAGTTGTTCGCGGCTTGTGGGATCTTCCTCGGCCAGGGCTCGAACCTGTGTCCCTTGCATTGGTAGGCAGATTCTTAACCACTGTGCCACCAGGGAAGCCCAGAAATGTTCTATATCTTGACTGGGTTACTCAGATATATATACACTTGCCCAAACTCATAGACTTGTACACTTAAGCTCTCTGCATTTCACTGTATGTAAATTACACGTCAATCTAAAAAAACCTTTACTATTCTAGTCCCCTCCTTATTTTGTAGATGAAGGAAACAAAGGCTCACTCAAAAAGTCTAAGGGGGGGGGAGGGGCAGTATAGGGGTGGGGGGTGAGAGGTACAAACTATTAGGTGTAAGATAGGCTACGAGGATGTATTATACAACATGAGGAATATAGCCAATATTTTATAACTGTAAATGGAGAGTAATGTTTCAAAATTGTATAAAAAATAAAATTTTTAAAATAAATGAATAAATCTGGGGGGTGGGGTCAAAGAAACTTGCTAAAGGCTTTGAGGACTCACAGTATTCTTATTTAAATACAGTACAGGGCTAGTTTCAACCAAAGGTTCTCCCAAGTGGGGTTCACCCCACTCACTGACACCAAGCATTTGTGATTTTATTTTGCCATTATTAACTATGTTCATTCCAAGTGATCAAGCTGGTTGTAGAGATGGATGAAATGCCCAAATGCCACTTAAGCCAAACCAGATCCTTGCCCCAGTGTACAGCCAATCAAGACAGTCTGTGGACATTCAAGACAGGGGGCTGTGTGTGTTGAGGTGACACAGAGGGAAGGTTAGAGTGGAGAAAAAGGAGTGATTTCTTATATTCCTGAAGCTCTTCAGTTAAGAAAAGCAGCAACTTTAATAGCTTACTCTTCATAAACATTATAATTTTTTCTCCTTTCTATCAAAGGTCAATTCTATTCATTTGCATCGGATATAAGGAAGAATCTCAAATTAATAAACTCTTGACTTACCAGATTGGACACTCTAAGATTTTCTGCATAGCATTAAGGACATTTTGTACTTCTTCCATGTGATCCGCAGAAAAATCCATTTCTTCCTGTTCCCATGAACTTTAACACATGAACTTAAATATATATGCAAATAAATCACGTTAAAAGGTTTAAAACTTGATTTCATTAAGTGCCATTTAAAATTGGAATGCTTTAGTATCAGGTCAACCACAGAACTAATGACAAAAGCCTTATTTTAAAAAAATTCTATAAGTTTTTTTCTCATTAAGACCATTTAAATTCTCTATTTTTTCACATCTAGCCTCCAATCACTTCCTTTTGGTCTTTTCCTTTCTCCAAGAACGGGAAAGCCACAGTGGGGTGACTGACTGGGTGAGTGGTGGTAGCCACCTAATTCTCCAATCATCCCGGCTGTTTTCTTTTTCTCGCTTAAAATCAAAATCAACACCAACCAATGCTCCCCACCCCTGTCCTTCCCCAGTGTTTCCCACTGGCCTGCACTCATCTCAGGAACCTCCTCAGGCACATCCATGCCAGCAGCGTATGTGCCAACGGAGGCTCGCCCCTCTACTTCCTTCTTGTCTCTTCTCAGAAACGCATATGAATCCAGTTCTTAACGGCTCTTCCTCCCACAAAATTCTGTTTCCTCCTCTTCCCAGACACATTCCTGCACCCCGCTTTCCCTCTGGGTCTCCATCTCACATATACCAGCCCATCTTTGTATACCATGATGTCCCCCCTCAAGACCCATTCCAGTTTCCACCATCAGGATTCCCCCTCGGAGACACCCTGCCCCCTCCCTTATCTTCAGCGCCTCCCCCCGACCCCGTGACCCACAAATTACCCCCCTCCCCACGATTTCCCCAGACTCAACGTCTTAGGTTTCTCAGGTTTCACCTTCCGCCCGCCCCTTGACAGATAACACCCATCTTGCTCGCCTTCAGGACTCACCTCTCCCCTCCACACCTGTTTACTGCCTGTCCCCCGGAGCACCCTGTGGGCCCCTCTCCCTTCCCCGGGGTTCTCTCACCTTTATCCAGAGCAAAGCGTCTGTGGTTCCCGGGCCCAGAGGCCCAGTTCTCTGAAAAACCCCCCGGACCGCCCTTGGTCAGGAACGCTCACACCGCGCAGTCTCAGTTTCAATTAATCTGTAATTCCCGCGCTTTCCTTTTGCCACGGAAACCGGCCGCTGCGCCTAGCGAGAGCCTCTCAGAACGCGAGAACGAAACACGTTACGGAAGGGCGGAACAGAAAGAGCTGAGTCTCTCGGGGTTCCTGATTGGTCACCCATTCTTTCCCTGCGTTACGTAATTAGAAAGAGACGGGAGAGAACGAATTCTGCTCGAGTTTTCTAACAGGCGCCTGACCCCCTTACCTCTACGCTTCCAGTTGCGGCTTATTATGTCACAGTGATTGCTGTACTAGGGTCGGAATCGCTACCTGAGGCTCGAATATGAGCGCAAGATAGTGCCTAAAAGAGTCGCAGGAAGACGCCCCGTTCCCTCACCCTTTCCGTCGCAATGGAAGTCTCCAGTTTTGGTAAATAAAAGGGTTGTGGGGGAAAAACTACGATTTCCAGCATGCATTGCGGATCGAAAGGCCTTGGCCACAGTGTCCCTTGGAAACTGTAGTCTTATGGAGAGGAACTTCCGACACTGGAAGCGGGCACGAGTCTCACGACAGCCCAGTTGACAAATTGAAGAGCTCCGCCCGCTTATGCACGTCAACAGATATGGATTGGAGTGTTATGTTTTAGTATCTTGAGAGCGGATAATAGGCTAAAGAACCTACAAATCCTAGGAAGACTACAATTCCCATCCATCCCCGCGAGTCTCCGCCATGTCGTCCTCTAAGGCCGGTGACCTAACTAAGGTCCGGCGCAGCTTTTACCTGGGAAGGGGAAATCGGCCCACGGCTGCGCACTCGTAGTTCCGCCCCTTTGCCCCAGTGTTTGTTGTTGTTGTGAGGTTCTGGCTGCTGCTGCCCCGCCTCCGCCAACTCATCCTCGACCAATCAATGGGGTAGTAGTTTTGAGGGACAAGTGGTAAGAACCAATCATCTTGTCGGAAACTCAGAGACGCAGGGGACTATGCCCTGTCTCTCTCCGCCATGTTAGATTCACCCCGCAGGGATAGCCTCAGAGCTGGCTGCGGACGGTTCTTGCACTGGCCTCGGGCAGGCGCCCCCCGGGGGCGGGAAGCTGGTAAGGAAGCAGTTGCGGTTACCTAGGGGTGGTGTCACGTCGCACTGAGAGGGCTTGGGGAAGTTCAAGGGAGGAATCCTGCAAAGAAGAGGGGCGACTTTTTCCGTGTCTGGGGCCAGCCGATCTTTTCAGTGACCGGATGCGAGAGCCGTTCGTGTTCCGAGGGGCCAAGGGGGCGGATACCACCGGAGGGATGGCGGGTCCGTGGCTTAGAACGCCTTCCTTCTGCTGAAGGACGCCGAGACTCCCCAGCACAAAGAGGGCCTAGGCAAAGAAAACGAGAGAGAGTCTTCAGGGGTTGGTGATACTGTCTTGGGGACATGGAGTGCCAGGAAAAGATAAGTGGAAGACTAGGATGAAGTTTTCAAGGGAAAAAAAAAAATGACACTACCCACACAGCCTCCTACTCCCCCTCATCCCACTTTTGGGGACCCTCATAAGGAAGTCTCCTTGGTCAGGGACCTCTGGTATTGGAAAGGCACCGTTTTTCCTTTTTATCGAACACGCAGCTTTCAGATCACACATTTTAACTCCAGGATAGCTTGTAGAGGCCTCCGGTGGAGACAGTAATGAAAGCTCAGGTTCCCAGGTCAGATTCATTAAAGGGATTTTTGATATCCTGGAAAAATCGACATAGAGGAAAAGCTGATCTATGCCAAGCAAAGATGAGCCAGTGGCATGAACTTAATATAATGCCAGTTAATGAAAGCTGAAGGCCGAGGCCCCAGCTACCTGACTTTACTAACTACAGGGACAGAGGGTACTAACGATAGCTTTGGTATTTCCACAAGTTCAAGACTAATGCTCTTGCTAAAAGAATTTTCACATATAAGGCAAACAGAAATAGGCAGCTCTTTATGAAGACCTGGATATGGTCCAGCTAAACTAGAATCTCCCACTTCCTGTTTTCTCCTTGCCAGCCAACCAGTTGGATGAGCTCCAAAGTATCTAAACTAATTTCCAACTGTGTAATTTGAGAAAAGGCAATGAAGATTAGTTTCCTTTTGGACTTTAAAAAGTGTGGAAGTGTGTTTCTCAGAAGTTGAAAAGTGAGAATGTGTTTTAGAATGTCCACTTTTGGCTGAGTGAATCAGTCACCTAATCTCCCTGATTTTTTGCCCAAGATTCTGGGGTGTTGCCAGGAGTTCTGTCCAAATTTTAAGGACCCCAAGAATTGCATTCCATATGAATGAAATACTAGATGTCAGCAGGATTGGTGCTAGAAACTATTTTGGTGGTGAACTTGGCTCTAGGTAGAGAAAAATAATGGAAAATGTTGGAGGATGATTGTCTTTGGATTAAAAAAAAAAACCCCTGATCCTCAGAGAGTTCAAGATCATTTTTAATGACAGTTGTATTGTTTCACAGGGCGGTTCCTTACACTGTGGAAAACAGGACTGTTTCAGGCCCTGATTTATTATATTAACTTTTATATTTCAGTACTGTTTTCAAAGAAATAGCATACACGTTTTTACTTGATCCTTGTGATAACATTGTGAGGTTAGCAAAGCAGAGGTCTTAGACCTATTTTACAGATTAAGGAACTGAAGCTCGGAGGTTAAAAGACTTGCTCACACTTATATGGCTAGTAATGTGCCAGAGCTGTGTCTGGAACCCAGCTCTTCTAAACCCCTGTGATCCCTCCCCTCATTACACTGTAAACTCCTGAGACTTAATCTTGTTCCTCTCCAATGTCCTGTGCCTGGAGCAGAACCTGGCTCTTTGTAGATGCTTAGTCAAGATTTACTGATGAATATGTTTTTTAGAAAACATATAAACATATAAAAAAGCTGGCCTTTTTCATTACAACTTATGTTTAGATTTAAACAAACTATTTTTTCATAAAGTCATTAAAAAAAAATCTAACAACTCATAAGTAATCAATCCTTCAAATTCTTACCTTTTAGAGGTAAATATTCAATTATTTTATGGATGAAATGAGTTTGGTTAAAACAGTTGACTACAGTCAATCCATATTGGGGGGATGGAAGGGTATAGATGAAATGAGGGTAGCTTTGAGTTGATCGTTGTAGTTAGATGTTCACTACTCTCCACTTTTATGTATGTTTGAAATTCTCCATAAAAGAAAAAAAGTAGCCTACAAAAAAAACAAAACACATGAACTTCGATGAAGGTTGTTGAATGCTACTCCTGTATAGTTTCTTGGCGAGTGGTTCAGCCTCTAACTTGTTAAATGGATCTAGTAGAGAACCTTGGTTGCTCAATTTAGGAAAGGGCTGCTTTTCCAAGAAAAATATAGACCATCACTTTCAGGCTTTAGGAATGTAAATTTCCCAAGGGTAGAGACCTACACTTACTCATCTTGGTAACCTACTAGTAAATATGTAACAGTAGGTATCTGTTTAATTAAGCAATCATTATAAAGTTCATAAAATCCTAAAGGATTTTACAAATGTTAGATGATTTCTGTGAATGTGGCCAAAATTTACATTCTCTCTGCAAACATATGGCAGTGAGATTTGTTTTAAACCACCCACTAGACTATAAATAGCAGAAGAGCAGGGACATTATCTTCACACCCACTGCCGTGTCCTCCTAGCCTAGCCTGTATTAGGTCCTCACAAGTATTTGTTGAATGAATGTTTATGCAGTTTATAGAGTCCTTTCTAATGTGTTTTCTCTCTCTCACCCACTCTCTCTCACTCTTCTCTAGCCCCACAGCATGGAACCACAGGTTACTCTAAATGTGACTTTTAAAAATGAAACTCAAAGCTTTCTAGTTTCTGATCCAGAAAATACAACTTGGGCTGATGTGGAAGCTATGGTGAGTGTTATTTTGTTTTGTTTCTCCATCCTTTAAGCATAAATATTTTTTCCAGAGGTAGCTATTTTTAGCTGTGCTTCCTAGCTGTAAAGTCTGTCATATTTACCATTTCTGGGCCTTTTGGAAAATTATTTTTGACAGGGGCTTGGGATTCATATAGGAGATGTGCCCTGGTAGAGGAAACAAACAAATTCTTTCTGAGGCGTTTAGAAAGGAAAGGTAAATTTATTTTTTTAAGTGAGATAGGACTTAGAAATCCTGTTTATTTTAGAAGCAGCCTGAGGAATGAATTGGTGTGGACTCCACCCTAACAAGGCCTGAGGTGAATATTCTCTTGCTTGAGAGCAGATAGGTTACTGTGGTTTTTGAACCACCAAGGATATAATTTGTGTTTTGCAAGAGCTAATCGATTGCTTTTATTGCTAGGTCAGAGGATGAATATCTCAAAGTTGAGCAGGAAAAACTCGCACGGGTGTTCAGATAGCAGCTCATCTATCACTTTCGTTGTTGTTAGTGCTTTTCCTCTTCTTGGTTTGCCCTTTGTACTCTTCTGTTTTTGTTTGATTTGCAGTAGTGAATGTTTTACTTCCTGTGTAACTGTGTTTGTCTGATGAAACTCTTTGTTAAAAACCTAGTTTTACCTGGTTGGTAAAAACCTACTTTTCTCTGGTTATGTGTTATGGTAACCAAAAAGGAAAAGAAATGGTGGAGAGACCTCAGAAGATGATCTGATCTCATCCTCTGTCTTCCAGGAAAAATATTTCCTTTATACTACCCTGGACAGATGGTTATCCACAAAGTTGGATCTTGTTTGTCAAATGATCTGAAAATCAAACACAGCTATCTTTTTTTTCCTAGTAGTTAAATGAGCTGACAGCTTGCCTTTTTTCTTTATTGTAAATTTTAAATTATAAAAGTGTAATACATGCCCATTATAAGAAATGAAACAATCCAAACATATATAAAGAAAACGTTAATATCCCTCCACTCCCCACACCCTCCACCCGCTATTCTAGCCTCTTTGGGGGTAACCTGTGTTAACAGCCCTGTATGTACTTCCCACATTTTCCATGTTCATACAGTTATCATACCATACTATGAACATTATTCTACAACTTGCTTTTTAAAAACAAAACAAAACAAAAACAGGAGAAAAACAAGTAGTGGTTTACTAACATGCATACCTCCTGTATACATAAGTGATACCCAGGAAAACTGAGTAACTCCACAGCTTGCTTTTTTTAACCCAGCCTGTATTATAGACACAGTTCTCAATGAATACACAAGGATCCAAGCTGCTGGTGGTGGTATACAACAATTTAACCATCCCTTATTGAAAGATTGTTTCTAGGGTTTTTTGTGGATTTTTTTCAATTGAGATATAGTTGACATATAACATTATATTAGTTTCAGGTATACAATGTAATGATTCTATGTTTGTGTGTATTGCAAAATGATCACCACAGTAAGTCTAGTTAATATTCATTACCACACACAGTTACAATTTTTTTTTCTTGGGATGACATCTTTTAAGATCTATTCTCTTAGCAACTTTCAAATATACGATATAGTACATATTATTAACTCTAGTCACTGTGCTGTACATTACATCCCCAGGACTTTATTTTATAACAGGAAGTGTGTACCTTTGACCACCTTTACCCATTTTATCCACCTCCCATTCCCTGCCTCTGGCAACCACCAATGTGTTCTTTGTATCTATGAGTTGATGAGTTGTTTATTTGTATTTAATATTCCACATATAAGTGAGATTATATGGTAGTTTTCTATCTGATTTATTTCAGTTAGCATAATGCCTCAATTTCCAAAAGGTTGGGTTTTTTTTTTTCCTTTTACCACTATAAAATAAACTACAGGAGATCCCTCTTTGTATATATAATGTATACACTGTTCTATAGGATAAAGTTTCCCAAAGTGAAATTAATGGGTCACCAAGCATGTGACTTTAAATTTTCATAGATACTACTGCATGCTTTGCAGAACAATGGTAAGACCCCACAGAAGCACATGACAGTGCCCTGGATCTTTATCCGCATTGGATGTCTTTGTTTTTGTTTTTGGCTGCAACGCGTGGCTTGCGGGATCTTAGTTCCCCAACCAGGAATTGAACCTGGGCCCTTGGCAGTGAAAGCCCAGAGTCCTAACCACTGGACTGCCAGGGAATTCCTCAACATTGCATGTTACAGCTTTAAAAATTGTGTTGCCATTCTGTTGAGATGACATCTCATTGCTTTAATTTAGGTTGTTCTGACTACCATTAAGGTTAAACATCTTTTCATGTATTTGTTAGGCATATCTGATTTCTTCTGTGAAATTTCTGTAGATTTTGGCCCACTTTTACCAGTTAAGATCTTATGATTAGCAGTTGCTTTTTGTGTATTGCAGATATTAACCCTTTTGTCTCTCGTGATTTGCAAATATTTTTCCCAGTCTATTGCTTGTCTTTTGACTGTTTTTTTTTAACCATGTAAAATGTTTAATTTTTATGTAGTGAAATATGTCAGTCCTTTATTTTATGACTTCTAGGGTTCTATTACAACCTGCCTTTTTGATAACTTGATCATATAGTGTGTACATTTCATTTGCAGGTAAAAGTTTCATTTGATTTGAACACTATTCAAATAAAATACCTGGATGAGGAAAATGAAGAGGTAAAGTATATTATGGTACCCATGACCAGGTATCCAGAATAGGGATCTTATTTCTCAAGAGGGACGTGGAGCTCAAAAAGTTCAGAATAGTGTTTATCTCATTTGTGTAGGAGTTTAAACAGTATTTGATAATTGCATGTTCTAAGCTGATTTGTGCCATCTGAGATGGAGTTGAGAAATAGGGAAGCGACATTGAAGAAGAAAATCTGAGAGATAACTTTTAAAACTATATAGTGATCTTATGTTCAACTATATCACAAGCTGCTATTTAGTTTCTAGTAGTAAAAATAATAATGACAAACCCTTATTGAGTGGTTACATGTGTCAGACTAACAACAGTACTATTATCATTATCTATTTTACGCATGAGAAAACTGAGGCACAGAGAGTTTAAATGACTTGCACAAAGGCACAAAAGCTTGGAAATAGCAGAGTAGGGTACTACTCATACCCTCTGATATACATACTTTATACCCTCTGGCTCCAGAGCCCAGGCTCCTAGCCACTATATTATGCTGCTTCTTAACTACCTGAAATAAAGGAGGATATAATAGTTAAGCAGTAAAATTACTTAATTATTCACATTTAGTTCAGATACTGGAAAAGCTGAACGCCTGACCTGAGGTTTTGTATCTATCCTGTGAGGCTGGATATGCTGGATTGCTCAGTTGATGAGAGGTTTATAATTAACTGTTGCTTTTTTTCCTTTTACAGGTATCCATCAACAGTCAAGGTGAGTCCCTAAGAGAACCTATTCAGCTTTATTTAAAAGCCTTAATCTTATCATAGGCATTGGCATTTCCATTTACATTCAAATCTTGTTGCAGTGTTTATTTTAGAGTAGAATTTGGTATGCAATAAATGCACTCACCCATAGGCATTAGTTACATAGGAGATCTTTATTTTATAACAGTTTTTTGTGTATAGGTTGGTGCCTTGATTGGACCCAAAGGACAGCTTTAATGAGAGGTTCGCTTATATTTAAGATGCTAATGTTTTGAAAAACATGTTTCCCGGTTCAACATATTTAACTTGTTTTCCTGGTATTGCTTTTGTCCTTGACTTGGTATATATATTAAAGTCAAGTTGTAAATAAGGTGGTTGGTTTTTGAGAGCATGGGGTGCATTTTCCCACAGGAGCAATGTTATATTTGAAGATTAGGTTCCCAGGCTAGCCCCTAGAAGCTTATTTTAACCAGCTGAAATGATAGTATTAACACCATCCTTTAACTTCCTTGAGTCCTGAGCTTCACTAAGCCTAGAGTGAGGGAGCTGGATTGAGTTTTTGTAACTGAAAGACTATAGTAGCAGAGAGAGGGATTTAAGGGGGAGAACTAATCTGCAGGTAGCTTCTATTTATGATGGGATAAGAAGGGAATTTGTCAGCAAAAAGGTAGTAGCTGTTCATATGTAAGGACTGTAAGCTAAGAATTCTTAAAAGTAAGAATTGTCCGTGCTTAACAGAATCTTTTGGGGCTGGTAAAAAAAATCACAGTATGTATATTTTTGTTCTTCTAGGAGAATATGAAGAAGCACTTAAGGTAATGATCATTTCATCTTATTTTCAAAGAATTTTTAAAATGTTTATGGACTAAAACTTGAGCCTGAATTCCATTAGCCATGTGGAGAAACTAATGACTATAAACACAGCAAAACCCTTTTTTTTTTTTGCGGTACGCGGGCCTCTCACTGTTGCGGCCTCTACCGCTGCGGAGCACAGGCTCCGGACGCGCAGGCTCAGCGGCCATGGCTCACGGGCCTACCCGCTCCGCGGCATGTGGGATCCTCCCGGACCGGGGCACGAACCCGTGTGCCCTGCATCAGCAGGCGGACTCTCAACCACTGCGCCACCAGGGAAGCCCGCAAAACCCTTTTTTAGGGAGACTATGATGAGTTCAGCATACCATGCCTCAAAAGGTACCTCCTAATATAAAGATCCTTTCCAGTATCATTGCATCTCATTGCTGGTCTTGATGCCACTGTACTGGCATTTCAAAATTGAAAGAACTCTCTGAAATGATGCTTTCTGGTTCACATTTTTTATCTCCTTCCTTCACCTTGTTCCCTGTCAAATGTTCCACTATAATGTGGAAGAATTTAAGATATAAACCATCCATTTACAATCTCTTGTATGTCAGTGATGAATTAGAGTATTCCTCAAGGTCACTTATTTAAGGTGTGCTAAGCTGACCTTTCACTGACTATCCTTTTTGAACTTCTAATCCAGGCTGAGCCATTTTCCATAATCACTTTTTGTCTAGGGAGGGAAAGGCAAGATTTTTTTTTAAATCAGGAGCTGGATTTACCCTTCCTGGTTTTTGATCAGAATTGCTATTCTGAGTGCCACTTGTTTCAAAAGTTTAGCCAATGTCTTCTTGGTTTTTAAGCAGAAATCCTCATTTACCAGCCAGTCTCTTTGGTTTTAGGCATTCAGGCCCTTTCCTGGTTTTTCTTAGTTGAAATACCCGTCTCTGTTAGTAATTTTTCATGCTTCGTAGTTTCCCTCTGCAGGACTTGGGATGTGTGTGTATATATAAATATATAATATATATGAATATATATAATACTGACTTAAAAATCAGATTCTGCAACGTACATTTTTTTAAATCTGTGCCAAAAATGTGTTTTCAGAGAAAATCTTATTTTCATATTCAGACTTTGTATTGTCACTCATTTGTATAAGTGTGCTTCGTTACAGCACGGGCCCTGCCCCCACCATTTGGAAGTGTCACACACACACAAAAAGCCTGTATAAAAGACTGGCTTCCCTTCTTCCTGTGACCTTGACCTCTCCCACAACTTCCTAACACTTATTAATTTATGAAACTTTTTCTCAGCACAGTTTTGTTTTGCATGTCCATTGGATTACAAACTTTATTAAAAAATATAGAACAACAACAAAAAGAAATTTCCCTCTGCCCCAGTTTTCACGTGATCTTCCTAGTTCCTCTTTGCTTTTTTTTTTTTTAATTTATCTATTTTATTTACTTATTTTTGGCTGCGTTGGGTCTTCGTTGCTGTACATGGTGTTTCTCTAGTTGCTATGAACGGGGTCTACTGTTCGTTGTGGTGCGTGGGCTTCTCATTGCAGTGGCTTCTGAATTCTGAATTCCATTAGCCGTGTTGTGGAGCACGGGCTCTAGGCGCTTGGGCTTCTGTAGTTGTGACTCACGGGCTCTAGAGCACAGGTTCAGTAGTTGTGGCTTGTGGGCTCTAGAGCACAGGCTCAGTAGTTGTGGCACACGGGCTTAGTTGCTCCTCAGCATGTGGGATCTTCCTGGATCAAGGCTCGAACCTGTGTCCCCTGCATTGGCAGGCGGATTCTTAACCACTGCACCACCAGGGAAGTCCTTCCTCTTTGCTTTTAAGCTGTTCTAACATGATGTCTCCCAACAGCCCTTTACTCTTCTCCAGTCTTCTGGCTTTTCTTTTTCCATATTCAGAAGCTACAGTAGTTTCATTTAAATTTGCTTTTAGCTGTTCTAACATGATGTCTCCCAACAGCCCTTTACTCTTCTCCAGTCTTCTGGCTTTTCTTTTTCCATATTCAGAAGCTACAGTAGTTTCATTTAAAAAGTCATTTAAAAACTTCAGAATTCTTCTACCTTTCTCACAGCCACTATTATTTTACCTATTCTGTCAGAAATCTGGGATCTCAGCAGTCTAGAGTTTATATAAGCCTGTCTTGCCCTAGGAAGCAAGACTTTTTCTACATACATTTTTTTCTGTAGTAACATATAATACTTAAAATTCCATGTTTATATTTTGACACAGTTCATTGTAGTTGTTTCTTGAGCAATTTTTTCCACAGAGTCTACCAAATACTTTAGAAAAATCTTCTTGGTTTGTGATCTAGAATAGGAGTTGGCAAACTATAGCTGGGAAGCTGACCATATATGTATGTGTGTATATGTATATATTTAAAATTTTTTGTAAAAATTGTATTTCATCTGAATTTAATAAGACACAAAAGTATTATGTGCTTGAACCTGTCACTCAAATAGAAGGTTCTTTCAGTTCTCCAGGCCAACCTTTTTTTAGAGGCAAATAAGAAACAAATCACCTCACACCTGTCAGAATGGCTATCGTCAGAAAGACCACAAATAACAAATGTTGGCGAGGATGTGGAGAAAAAGGAACACTTTTACACTGTTGGTGGGAATGTAAATTGGGGTGGCCACTGTGGAAAACAGTATGGAGGTTCCTCAAGAAACTAAAAATAGAGCTACCATACGACCCAGCAATTCCACTCCAGAGTATATATCCAAAGAAAACAAAAACATCAATTTGAGAAGATATTTGTACCCCTGTGTTCATAGCAGCATTATAACCAAGATACAGAAGCAACCTAAGTGTCCATCAACAGATGAATGGGTAAAGAAGATGTGTACGTGCATGTGCGCATGCACATGCGTGCGCGCGCGCACACACGCGCGCACACACACACACACACACACACACACACGAATACCACTCAGCCAAATGAACTTTTTCCATTTGCAACAACATGGATGTAACTTAGAGAAATAGGTCAGGGAGAGAGAGACAAGTATTGTATGTTATCACTTATATGTGGAATCTAGAAAGTAAAACAGGGACATCCCTGGTGGTCCAGTGGCTAAGACTGCACTCCCAGTGCAGGGGGCCCAGGTTCGATCCCTCGTTAGGGAACAGATCCCACATGGTGCAACTAAGACCTGGCTCAGCCAAATAAATAAACAAATATTTTTAATAAATAAAATAAACTAGTGAATATAACAAAAAGAAACAGACTCATAGATACAGAAAAGAAACTGGTGGTTACCAGTGGGGAGGGACAAGAAGGGTAGGGGATTTAGAGGTGCAAACTATTATATATAAAATAAATAAGCTATAAGGATATATTTACAGCATGGGGAATTTAGCCAGTACTTTATAATTAAGAAAGGAAGAGAAATCACATTATGTAGAGTATATATAGATAATTTGCTTTTACAAAAACAAAATATTTGGACATTTTATATTCAGTATAGCTTAGCAATGCAGTTTCTGTTGACAAATTTAGTTAACTGTTAGGAGGTATAGTACATATTCAAGAGAACTTTATAGCCCGCAGATATTTTAACCCTTAAGGATGACATGTCTGATTTAATTTTGTTTTTGTTTTTGTTTTTAAAGAAGATACTGGTGGGAATTCCCTGGTGGTCTAGTGGTTAGGACTCCGAGCTTTCACTGCTGAGGTCATGGGTTCTGTATCTGGTTGGGGAACTAAGATCTCGCAAGTCACATGGTGTGGCCAAAACGCAAAAAGAAGATAATACTGGCCCTTTTTAGTAGAGGCTTTGAGCTGCTTCTCTCTCTTTTTTCCTCCTAATTCTTGTTCTTTAACAGCATGCTTAGCTTGTACCTGTTCACATCCTTCCTGTGCTGTTTGATTTGATGTTTTCTTTTTCTTTTTCTTTGGAGTAGCAAGAGAATTTACTCTTATGCTGCATTGTTCTTCTGGCCGAGGCTGCTCAAAGCTACCGTGTTCTTCAGACAAAGTCTGGTCAATACTATATTGCTCTTCTGGCAAAGGTTGATCTACGTATTCTTCTTACAAAGGCTGGTCAACTTGTTCTTCTGATAAGGACTGGCCAGCGTTTCTAGGTGGCTTCCTGAGTCTTCCCTCTATATCTAAGTAGAGGTGCTTCAGATGATCAGGGTATAAATCTGAATTGTCATTCCTGTGAGGTTTGAGCCTTCATTTCCTGTCGTAGCAATTTCTTATAATTTTTCTGACTTTTTAGTTTTCTTCAAAATGTAAAGCCTTCCCTTGTGAACTTTCCCCACGAAGGCCTACAGATGGTTGGTGGTTAGGTTGCCATGTGCTCTGTTTCACATTTATTTCTGAATCCTGCCAGTAAAACTCCTTTGTTACATGTCCTGAAAATCCCTGTCTGCCACCTTGCTGCCAGCGTCACCCTGGCCACATTTTCTTTTTTTTTTTGTGGTACGCGGGCCTCTCACTGTTGTGGCCTCTCCCGTTGCGGAGCACAGGCTCCAGACGCGCAGGCTTAGCGGCCATGGCTCACAGGCCCAGCTGCTCCGCGGCATGTGGGATCCTCCCGGACCAGGGCACGAACCCACGTCCACTGTGCCACCAGGGAAGCCCCACCCTGGCCACATTTTTATAAATAAAGTTTTATTAGAACACAGTCATGCCCATTCATCATGTATTGTCTGTGGCTACTTTTGTGTCACAATGGCAGAGTTGAGTAGTTGTGACAGAAACTGAATGGCCTGCAAGCCTAAAATATTTATTATGTGGCCCTTTAAGAAAGTTTCCTGGGTACTTTCTTGGTGGTCTGGTGGTTAAGACTTCACCTTCCAGTGCAGTGGGTGTGATCCTTGGTCAGGGAGCTAAGATCCCACATGCCTCACAGCCAAAACACCAAAACATTAAAAAAATAGTAGCAATATTGTAACAAATTCAATAAAGACTTTAAAAAAAAACACTAAAAGTTTGCTGAACAACAAGGATGTACTGTATAGCACAGGGAACTATATTCAGTGTCTTGTAATAACCTATAATGGACAAGAATCTGGAAAAGAATATATATATGTATATATATAAATAACTGAATCACTTTGCTGTGCACCTGAATCATTGTAAATCACCTATACTTCAATTAAAAAAAGAAAAAATAAAGTTTGCCACCTATACTTCAATTAAAAAAAGAAAAAAGAAAGTTTGCTGATCCCTGACCTAAGATAATAGCTTTCAGACTTTTTGGATGTGGAATGCTGTTTTTAAGTGGAATCTTAAGAAGTCTAATGTGTGAAAATAGATAAAGGAAGAACAAATCTTGTCACTGGGTAACAAGTGGGAGGGGCTAGAACCCCGCGGACTTGACCCCCTAATATCTTCTTGGACGCTGGAGTACCTTCATGGAATCTCAAATGCTCCTTGAAGTAGAGTTTTCAAAATAGGATATTTAAGAAGATGCTCTTCAAAAAGAGGTGACCACTTAAGCATGCTTTCCAAAATACTATTCTTAGTGGGAAGGTAGATGCTTAACTTTGGACATAGCTTTAAGTTTCCTGGGTCTAGAATTGACTTTTGAAAAGTTGAAATTAGAATCCGTAAGTGGAGTCCTACATAAAAACCAGTTAATAGATGGTAACGAGACAAACTGTGGTGATAATTTCACAATGTATATTTGACATTTTCAAATGTCAAATCATTATGTTGTGACCTGAAACTAATATATGTCAATTACACTTAAATTTAAAAAGTTAAACAGAAAAGTAGTAACCCAATTAATGAAAACATCTCACCTAATGAAGAGCTACACTAAAACCCTTTTGTTTTTAACAAAACCATTCCTAGTTAACATTTTTGGCCAAGAAACAGCAGACTGTTAACATATTTGTCATTTAATTTAATAAAAGAAGCATGAATCTGATATTTTCCAGAGTATTTTACCACACCTCTTCTGTTTAGGTGTCTTTGAAATTTTATTTAGGAAAGGAGAATCACACAATATTGTTTCTAATTTCATAACATATGCTCTCAGATGGCAGTTAAGCAGGGAAACCAACTGCAGATGCAAGTCTATGAAGGCTATCGAGTTGTCTACGAAACCCCACCCCCAGTTGGAGCAGAAAAACGACCAGTTGCAAGGACAGGGAGGAAGCCACTTGCACATTATTCTTCACTGGTGAGAGTCTTGGGATCAGATATGAAGACCCCGGAGGAGCCTGCAGCACAGGTACAAAGGGAATGGACCTGTCTCTATAATTTTTCTAACCTGTGTTTCATTGTCTCTAGTCTAAGATTTGAGCTGTTCATCAAAGATTTGGGAGTTGTTGTGACTGTCTCCGTCTGACTTTTTGAAACTAGTAACAGTGGTTACTTCTGGAGAGGAGCATGAATAGGGTGCCATAAAGACTTCGGTTTTTCCTATACTCTTTCATGCTCATTTTTTTTGACCATATATTTATATTATTTGGCAACAGAAACCTCAAAGTAATACATTTCAGGAGATGTACTTTAAACAGAAAAAGAAAAAAACTTATCTCCGATTGTGTTTACTTGCAGCAGTTTCCACCTGCTCCACATGACGCAGACCAGCCTCAAGACAAGCCCCCAGACTGGTTCACAAGCTACCTAGAGACAGTGAGTGTTCTTTCTGGCTTGGGTTTTAGTGGCAGTGTTGGAACAGGTGGAATGTGGAAGAAACAGAAAGCTAAATCCAGATGGCTGCTGCCTCTGGTACAGGTGAATGAAGAGTAGTAGCTAATAATATCCAAACTAGAGCAGTTCCAGTCAAGGAAGTTCCTAGCTTTTGCAATAATGTACTAGAAAAAGGGGGGAGTTTAATTCTAAGGATGTAAGGGAAAGGGACAAATTTCTATGCTTGAGAAGGAAGAGTTAGAAATTTACTCATCAATGGATTTTTTGGTATTTTATTTGAACCAGTTTAGCTATGGAAGGAATAGACTGTTTTTGCTTTGTTTCTGTCCCTTCATTTAGTAGCTGTTATCTGTTTATTATGCTCTTATGTTATACCAGAGATGGTGAGGTTTCAGGTCTGTTTGATATTTTCATGCCTTTTTCCAGTCTTGGAACTGAGGGGTTTTTTCCCCCGTCTTCTCTGTATTCTAGTTCAGAGAGCAAGTGGTTAAAGAAACGGTTGAGAAGCTTGAACAGAAATTACGTGAGAAGCTTATCCTCCAGAATCCATCCTTGGGTTCCTGTCCTTCAGAAGTCTCAATGCCTATTTCAGAGGAAACACTGTTTTTGCCAGAAAACCAGTTCAACTGGCATATTGCTTGCAGCAGCTGCCAAAGGAGGATCGTTGGTGTGCGCTACCAGTGCAGGTAAAGCAGTAACTTGGCAATGAACAGCTCTTAGTAGAACTTAGAGCAGGCGGGCCTTCTAGCATTCTGGGAGGTAAAGGGTGTGCTCACCTGTGAGCATCATCCATAGCAGCTCTGGATTGGAAACAAGCTACTCTTCACCCACAAGAGAAAATAACTATTTGAAGGGTATTCAGATTGTGGTATTCATATATACTTTTGAATTAAAAGAGCCAAAATTAAGTTCCCCAAAACAAAATTGGATCCCCAAGGATTACCTCCTTATTCCAAATGCTTTCATATCTCGTTTTCTCCCATAGATTGTCCTTTGAAATAGATACAGGTGAAGTGTTATTATCCTCATTTTATTCATGAGGATTGAGACATGGCATGGATGGGTGATGTGCTCAGGTTTCCACCTAGCTGGTAATAGAGCAAATAAGGAAGTCTGGGTCCCTATCGCCCAACCTCAGGTACTTCCCACTGTTCCTTTCTTTTCCTCATAGCCTCTGCCCATCCTACAATATCTGTGAAGATTGTGAATCGGGGCCATATGCCCATGACTCCAACCATGTCCTGCTGA